GAGAAGCAGCACAGGAACTTCGCACGACTGCAGCTTAAACTGAAGATAATGCCCTGGACTGCTCTTCCTCCATTTCTAGAACTTGGCCCTAAACCAAGAATGTGATGCAGCTTCTCCCAGTGAAACGTCTGAGATCTGGGGAGGGCAAAGAGCCCCAATTCCTACATAAGATTAAACGTGGAGAAAGACAAGACAAGAATGGGAAAGAGAGGACACGTTGCCCCAGCAAAATGTGATGGAAAAATATTGTACATAAATTAGACAGTGTGTGTGGGCTCAGTTCTGTCACTGGCTCACACTGCAATAAACTCTTCATGTTAAAAATCTCCATTTCTTGTCTACTCACTTGCAACAGAATCAACACTGTTTATGACTTCCCACAGGGACAACAGGGATGCCTCATCTCTGCCAGGGTGCAATAAAGACCAAAAAGCAGTAAATACAAGTCTGGGTACCTTAAACTGGGGGTTCCTGGTTCTCTGCAAGGTCATGCAACCCTTGCTGGACCTGGAACATCTCAAGTAGGGCATCTGGGGCATTCTCCATGTTAAGCAACTGCAGGAGGGCATGAATTCAAGCAGAGCCATCTCCTGCCCAGCTGAATGTTCCCACCCCTGCATGCCAGCAGGAGAGTTCACCTGACCCTGCTGCGAGCCAGTTCAGGGAATTAAACAGAAATAACTTTGTGTCCTTGCTGTGACCCACCTCCCCATGGGCTGAGACAAGCCCCGGTGAGTGCACAAGGACAAAACTGCACGGCTGGCAATGGGAGCAAGCAGCAAGGACAGCCCTGTGGATCACACCTAAAAATCTCGGCCAAGATTGGTCGTGATGTTCCTTTGGTATCAGCTGAGAATCACAAATAATATTGCTTCTTTCAACGATTATGGAAGTCAGTCAAGGCTTGGGAAAGTTATTTTAACCTATGTCCTTCTAAATAACAGGTGATGCGTGACTACATCCACTGTATTTATAGAAGTACGACATAACGTGAGGCCTTAGTGCTTTCTCTTCATCCAAATACTCCAGATCCCTTTGCAGAGATGGCGTTGCTCAGTACGCAGCAGGTTGGAGTCGCAGCTTTCCAGTCGCAGGTAGGAAATTGAAACTCGCGTGTTGTTGTGAGAAGTGGGAACTCAGTACTTTTCCACTACATCTCACTTTCACCATGCAAAATGGTTCACTTATTAGCAAGGCAGCCCTGCTGGTGTTACCATCAGTGCTGTAACTCATGACCGCTCTAAGCCTGAGCTTTAATAAGCTTTCTGCGGCACGGATAAGCACTCTCGCTACTTCATCAACCACACAAAAGATACCTAAAGACACGTTTACTAAAATAAACTCTCAAAAGCTTTCTGGTCAAAACCTCTGGACAAAGGTTTAGATCGCTGCACTGTGCTGCAGCAGAGCGTGCTTTCTGTAGCTGCAAAACAGGAGCTAATTAAGAGGGATGGTCAGACCTTTCAAGCTAAAAAACCAGTTGCATTTGGCTGAAATTCAGTTTCTTTCTTCAAACTACTGGCCTACGACCTCAGTTTCCAAGACACAAGGAGAGATTAAGAACGTGAAGTTATCTGAAGCCTTTACTTAGGTTTGCTAGAAGTCAGACCAACATACAAAGTCTCTGCCTAGCTCAAAGCTCCATTATTTCAGGATGTGAGATGGCGTGATGAGGTGACAGGGTTTCTGCAAACACAGCTGCTGCTAGAGGTGGGCTTTTTACATAGTCGTTATTTTTCAATAGCACTTTTTTAAAAAAAATAGATGTTCATGTATTCACCACATAGGAAAAAGGTGGAAAAAAGCTGAAAATGTGTACTTTCTACTCCTTTTAGAGGTTAACAAAAATCCTAAATCCATCAGAACTGCCAAAACAGTCTTGTTAAGAGTAGCACGGTCTCTGCACAGAAACCTCACTACTCCTAGCACTGACGAAATATAGAGATTAACCTCAGAGAACAGTTGGGCTGGGTGCTAAATGTCTCATGTTTTGCATGCACAAGCATCCCTGCAACTATTCAGAATGTGAGAAATTAAGGGAAAGCTAATGTAAGTATGAGCAAACTTTGTAAGAAAGCACTTGGGTAATGAAGATCTTTAATGCTGCTATAAAACTTCACCTCTGCAAGTCAACTGCTCTTTCAAAAAGACTAACGTTTTTGTGAAAAGCTATTTGAAGTGTTCTGGCAAAAAGATAGCTCTTCATTGCTGCAGGGAGATGGCAAGCTCTGCCTGCTGCATGGGAATAATAGCATCAAACACTCCCAGACACACACACTCTCATTACAAAGCCAAAAAAACCCCCAAACTGTTCTCCAGTTCCAAAAAAACCCCAGTGTACCCGAGCGTCTGCACTGCTAACAGTGGTAGTGGCAAAGCTGGAGGGTCTGTAAGACCAGCACATTGACGTGCACATTTCTTCCATATAAAGTCCTCCTTAGCTTATTACTTGTAAGATTTTACCTAGGTTAACTTATATTCAGAAAAGTTTAACGGTGTGCTAATAAATACCTACAGCTATTGTGCATTTACTGTTTTTCCACCAGCAGCTGTTCAACGGAGCAGAACCCATCCATGGCACTGACATCCTGAGGACCATCTCAGGTGGCATCCTAACAAAGTCCTGAGACTTACTGCTATTTTTATATGCTACTTACTTCCAAAGTGTAAGCCTGATGTTACCACCACACAAACGTACCTGGGTATACTTACTCAAAGTTTGTTTCCCAGTCTCCAGTGCTTTCGACTTGACTGGAACCTTCAAGTGATCCTTAGCACTGATTTCAGTTAAGAGTTCAGATCCTAATACTGCCACAGGGAAATACATTTCAGTTATTTGGAAGTGGAAACTTCCTGTCTGCCTGTGCCTTCCTGCACTCTAAAGGTAGTCATCTTTTCTCCTGCTTCTTTTAAGTTTCTCTAAAAGAAGTTCTTTCAAAAAAAGAAGTTATTTAGTTTAAAAAGCAGTATTATTAATCTAAAAAATTGATCTATAAACTAGACTGACTGTAAAACTAAATACACCTTGCAGATGATAACCCGCATGTAAGACTAAATCCCAAATACTGGAATAACTGTGTTGATTCCAGCTACTGAGTTCCACAAATCTTGGTGTTCAAGTGCCCAGCCTAACAGCTGTAGTTTCTGACTACGACCATGTAAGAAAAGGAAAAGTAAACTTCCCGATCTGTAATGTTCACTAAACATGAAGATACTCCTAAAGTTCAATAAATTATTGGATAATTGGCAAAGCAGTCAATAGCTCCTGCGACAGCTGCAGGAGATAATGTGCAATCACAACTGCAAAAGCATTAATACATTAAAAAATTGTCCAGTTCACAAGTTTTTACTCTAACCTCACTTCCCACAGTCATCACTGGGAGAAAAAAGAACTACCAGCTCAACCAGCAAGTGTTTAAATGATAGAGAAGATGAGGTGGTGTCACAGATGCTTCTGTAACGCACCTCTGCCTCGCCACAGCACCAAAGCAAGTCCCTAATTACTTCTGATTAAGCAGATCCTTTATACTTAGACATCCTAATAACTGACTGAAGATGATAAAAACTCCAACTTGTGCTGTGGA